GGAGGACCTTGATTCCGAGGATAGGGTATCATGAGGGCTTGACTCGTATTCAGTTATGGCTTCTAAACTCTCTGATGCAGCAGACTGTGTTTGATATTTGAGATCTCCTTCTATCAGAGATGGAGGATATTATTGTTGAGGGGTTCAGAGGTCATCGACAGTTGCCCTATACCCATTGGATCACATTCCTTATTCATAGGGCAGTTACAGTGAGGCTGCTTGAGATACTAGCTGAGTACAGTGGTGCTACTACAGAGTTCCCTGCATATAACCTGACTCAAATGATCTGCTATAGTACACTGACTGCACCTAGTCAGCCGCGTCATCGTCCAGAGGTGCCAGAGACTGCAGCCCAGTAGGATGATATTACTAGGGGCATAGCAGCTACTGAGGAGGAGGAGCTTGCTTAGTAGGAGGGGATGGTCGAGAGCGACCCCAGTGATAGCTCAGATGAGGACTACCGGGACATTCCTCAGACGCCTACACGTCGACATGACCATGAGGCCGGTAGCTCCAGTTCAGCTCCACCTGCACCGCAGACAGACCCCGCTCTACTTACTATACTTGAGCGGATGAGGCAGGATCAGGCTCGCCAGGCACAGGAGACAGCTGCTACTTTTGCACAATTTCAGACTCGGCAGGACGAGTTCCAGCGTCAGCAGCTGGCTATGCAGCAGCAAACATAGGCTCTACAACAGCAGCAGTAGGCCATGCATCAGTAGTAGCTCCTCATGCAGCAACAACTACTCGGATTTATGCAGCATGTTGTGATAGCTATTGGGGCTCCACCGCCACAGCCTTCGCCCCAGCTTGGTCAGACTGCCACCACTTCTATAACTCCATCGTTACAGCCTAGTGGGCTTCAGAGTTAGGGACAACCACCAGCACAGTTTGCTTCTCCTATAGAGCAGATGTCCCAATGGTTTGCCTCGTTAGTGCTAGCCCCGTAGTTCACACCTTTTCAGACGGGCTTCACACCGGCTGAGACGTCCTCGCTGCTAGTGCCAGAGACTACAGTGTCCAGGAGCCTTGGTGCTTCCTTCAGTGAGTTGACAGGGCAGCCTACTCCGCCATATTTACATGTCCTAGGTCCTTCTACAGTTGCACCTATTACCGGGACTACAGAGACGCTCCCTTCCTCAGTGGCATCATCAGAGCCAGCTGCTACAGTCATACCAGCACAGCCTACAACAGCACCAGTTGTTGATCCGACCCAGATTGCTTCAGCATCGCTTCCAGCTATAGAGGGTCAGACAGCTCAGAGCTCAGGGTTAGATGATGATGGCACTCAGTTCCAGCTCTCTCCTCGCACCTCAGCGCCCGGCTCATCCGCTGCAGCCCCGCCGACCGACCCTTAGGTTTTGGTGTTTGACGCCAAAGGGGGGAGAGATCGAGTATGCTAAACTTAGGGGGAGCGACTTATCTAGGGGGAGCTTAGCTTATCTATTAGCTTATCTATTACATTTGGAGTTTTATGTGTGATACATTATTATGCATTCGTCGTGTGTTTACTTTTTATGCATCAAACTATATTTATGTGATAGTGATATCTACATGATCATGATATATGACATGTGTGCTCTCTACTTTAAATTATTTATATGTCATATCACTTGTGTTATGCTCATTTGCTTTGCTTCCATGTTTTACTCTGATGCAAATGAGTTTTATTACTTGTACTCATGCTTATTTCATATCTTTTAATTACACCATGTTGGCTTGGGTCATATAAGCTTGCCTAACACTTTTGTTCTTATTGCCAAAGGCTTATATGAACCAAGCATGTTAAAAACCTCATCACTTTCACATACTCGAGGTGGTATTGTCATCAATCACCAAAAAGAGGGAGATTGAAAGCATCTAGGCCCCTAGTTGGGTTTCGGTGATTAATGACAATACGTGATTACTGTGACTAACGTGTATTTTGCAGAGGCAATTAAGCTAGGTCACGGTAATGGAGATTGATTGGGCAATCATGATGGTCATGCCCCTACGATGGAAATCATTTCGGTTTTTGAAGGATGGACGACAAGGTTAAGGATTGACTAGTTCTAAGTGTCGTTTGGAGTTGAAGATACACTTAGAGTAGTTTATGACTTTGTTTTTCTTTTGGCCGTACTATTAAGGGGGGTATGGATGGGTAGCTTGATCTAGGTGAGTCTAGTGGGTTAGGTGTGGTGCACACTTGCTAAATCTAGCACTAGGTAGCTCCAAAATAGCCCTTAGATCTAATGGAGCAAACTTCACTCACATATGATCGAGAGTTGAAAGTGAATGAAGGGTCAAATACTGACCGGACGCTGGCTCAGAGTCCGGTTAGTTCATTTGACCAAGGTGATTTCGTCTGGTGCGATCGGACGCTGAGAGATGAAGTGACCGGATGCTGAGAGCCAGCGTCCAGTTGACTCCAGTAAGGTTCTAGAGAGGGAAAATCATGACCGGACGCGTCCGGTCACACTTTAAACACTGGAGTTCGGGGTGAACTGACCGGTGCGTCCGGTCAACATGACCGGAGCGTTCGGTCACCCCGCAGAGGCACATAACGGTTCGTTTTTCAGCCGGTGTTATAAATACCACCTCCATTCGTGTGTGGGGGTACTTTTGCTCATTCCAACAACTGAAAAATACCTTAGAGAGTGCCAAGAAGAGCAAGATCCTACTGAGGTAATTGAGATTTGAGAATCCCAAAGAGAGCCCTCATTAGTGAGATCAAGAGTAGCAAAGTGTGCATCCACCCTTCTCATTAGGCTTGTCGTGGTCAAGTAAGAGTCCGTGCTTGTTACTCTTGGTGATCGCCATCACCTAGATGGCTTGGTGGTGATTGAGAGCTTGGTGATCATCCAGAGAGCTTGTGGATGACCTAACTCAAGTTGTGAGCGGTTGTGGGTGATTCACCGCGACGGAGAGTCAAAGAATCAACCCGTAGAGAGCACTTGATCCTTGCGCGGATCAAGGAGGAGCTACACCCTTGCGCGGGTGCTCCAACGAGGACTAGTGGGGAGTGACGACTCTCCGATACCTTGACAAAACATCGCCGCATTCCTCCTTCTCTCTTTACTTTGAGCAATTCAATTCTTGTCATTTACATTCCTAGAATTGCCATGCTAGAGTAGGATTGGAACTTAGGGTGCTAAACTTTTGTGCGTTAGATCAATAGAAATATTTTCTAGGCACAAGGGGTTAATTGGACTAACCGTAGAGTTTAATTATTGCAAAGAAATTTAGAATTAGCCCAATTCACCCTACTCTTGGACATCTTGATCCTTTCACTTACTCATGTCGGCCGGCGAGGTTGTCGCTGTCGTTACCACTCCGCACTCGCCGCACCGTGTCTCTCTTGTAACCAGCTTGCCGTGCTCCTCGACGACCACCTCGTGCGACCCTGCAACAACTTGGGAATTCTACCTGAGCATCCGCTGTCGGCGACGAGGAGGAGCATGAGCTGGTGCTCTGGCGCTCCACATTGAACCGAGGAGGACCAGGAGTAGAACCCAACGTTTGTTTCTATCAAGCGTTTGGAGGTGGATTTCACGACGTTGCCGTGCCACCGTGACAGAATGCTAGATAGAGGTAACGGTGTTGTCTTTCAGTGGTATTTTATGTGACGAACGTCTTTCAATGGTATTTTACGAAAGTGGAGTACTTTCGGCGCTATAGAACCAATTTTCCCTTTAACTAATTAGCTTGTGCTTGTACATTTTAAAATAGAGCCGCCATAACTACTGTCATTCTATAGGCCCACAGTAATTAAGCCAATCATCGTAAACCAAAGGATATAATAATGAACAATAACATGAATAAAATAAACTGCACCCACGCAAAATCATCCATCCAAGAGAATAGTCAAACACCAAATAGGCGGGCGAAAGCACGCCTGATCACCTGCCATCCCCATCCCAGTCCCAATTCCGGACGGAAACAGGTGGTCAAGTCAATCAATGCACGCACGTCTCTCGGCCACCCATCTGGCCATCTGTGATTCCTTTCACCTATCCCATTCCGGCTCCCGAGTCCCGCAGCCACAGACGCTTTTAGAACCGAGCATCGGCTCTCCGCCGGGCCCACGTGGAGGCGAGCGAGCGAGAGGCGGCGCGGCGCAACGTCATGACCGGGAATGGGATTCCCAAATCCCTCCCGCGTTTCTCTCGCCTCCGCCATTGACTCGACGCCGCCAACCAGAATCCAACCAGGAGCAGAGCGCCCCAAACAAAACCCAACTCATTTTCAGCTCGCACAACGGGCGGCCTCGTAGCAGAGTCCCAGTCCTCTCGCTTTCTCACCGCGATTCGCCTCGCTTCCATCCGATTCGCTTCGGGAGCCAGAGGGAGAGGAGAGGTAAGGTAATCGGCTAATCGCCCCGCGCGTGCTTCCTTCCTCTTCGGTCGGCTCCAGCTAGCCGTTCATTCCCGCTCCGCCCGCTGATTCGCCGGATCGGGCCGTGGTTCGTTCGATCCCGCGTCTCTCTCTGTCGCTTTGGTTTGGTTTGGATCTTCGCCTGCCCGAACTTCGGTCGGCGTCGAGTGCGTGATTTTTTTTCCTCGATTATGGTTTTAATTTGTCACTAGCTCGAGCTGTTGATCTACTTGGGCTGGTTGGTTTAGCGTGGTTTGGTTTGAAGTTGGCTTGTGTTTGGGTTTGTGATTAGGAGCTGGGTTGGTTTTGAGCTCGTTTGGGTTTATGAGTAATATAACCGTGCGTTTCAGCTTTTCATTTGTTGTTTACGCCTTCAGGATGTCTATTTATGCTAGATGTTGTACGGAGTTATTAATCCATGTGGTTCAGGTTTTCATTTGTTGTTTACGCCTTCAGGGTGTCTATTTATGCTAGATGTTTGCGGAGTTATTAATCCATGATAGGACACTCAATTGAGTGGTGGCTGCGTTACGGGAGTGGTTCTGATTTTCCCTTGTGCTATACTGCTACGGAGTATACTCCATTTCGTGCTTCTACTACAGCTGTTTTATGGCTCAGTGGACGTTCCTCATCTTGTGCAGGTAGTCATGCCGCTGGCTGAGCCGCCCCAGTGGCGCCGCAAGGCCACAGATTTCTTCTCCACATCCAGTAAGTGTGACATCGTGTTGTTTGTTGTAAATCACTCGGTAATCATTTTCTGTACGAATATTCCTACTTCAGTGTAATCATTGCATCAAATTGCTTTGTCATGATGATGTTGTGATTTACTAGTACCCCATAGCTTTTTGGCGCCGATAAAGATAAGAACTATCATGTCCTTCGGAGCTATTATCGAGTTACTAGTATAGTCCTGAGTGACTGTGCAGGTTGCTTGTATTTGTATCCTATTACCATTTTTTGTTATGTATGCTTTACCTGGAACTTTAACCTTACCGTACCGATTTAATGCAGGTGTCAAGCTGAAGCAGGCAGGGCAATCGGCCGGGGATAATATAGCTGATGTTGCTGGGAAGGTTGGGTCCGTGGTGAAGAGTCGGTGGGCTGTCTTCCAGGAGGCTAGGCAGCAGCAGCAGCAGCAACGTCCACCACATGAGACAGTGCAAGAGCGTATCATCACTGCTACTGCCTCTACTGGTTTGCTTTTCAGGAAAGGCATTTCAGAGACAAAGGAGAAGGTTGCAGTGGGAAAGGTCAAAGTTGAAGAGGTATGTATGCGTTTCAATAGAAGTACTTTGACATGTTATTTGGTCAGTGTAGTTTCAACTGCTGTGGAGTTCTCTGTGTAATCTATTTGTTGCAATCATTTTGAATTATACCCAAAAAACGATTTAATGGAAAAAAGGCAAGAGTTCCTTGTTTCATTAGTTGTTCTGCAAAGTTGTCTATTCTGCATTATTACCAACATAAAGATTAGTTGAATAGTGCACTAAATCGTTGCCAGGAAAAAGATGGAGTAACAAGTAGTGCACCTTGGTTATTGGCATTTCCAGGTGTGAACATCATGGCAGAATCGTTGGTGTATTAAATAGCTATTTTAAATGTTTTCGGGGTAACATTAAAGCCTATTGAGAAATGTAATTTTCTCCGGGATATCGGAATTTGGACCTTGCATTCCTTTTGTGATGCCATTTGTTCATCATTCTTTATGGATAAACACTAGTGTCTTTAGAGAAACTCACCCTTTTCTGGTTTCATGTACTTGCAGGCTGCTAAAAAAACTGCAGATAAAAGTAAGAGTATCTTGAACAATATTGAACGCTGGCAGAAGGTTTGTGATTTGGAATTCTGTTACCTAGTAACACAATTTGACCTTTTTCGTGTACAATGCTGATTCTCATTTCTGACTCTTTGCCCCAGGGAGTCGCAAGCACTGATGGTATGCTCACAATTCAATATCCAGGATTCATATCTATCATAGTTGACAACGCATATCGCATATATATTTTCTTATAGCATCCAGGCAGTTATTTTTCCTGTAGCAGCTTAAATTTCCTGTAGCATAGCGTTAGTTCTGGATTCATATGCCTTTAAGTTTTATGTTGATTACATTGCTATTCTTTGCCTGGCTTGTTTGACTTATTCTTCACTAATATTTTAGGTTAAGTTTATGTCTGTTCTGTCTATTTGTGGATTGTGACCTGTGAGAAATGACCCTCTGATACAAAATCTAAATAGTTGTTCAAGCCATTGTACAGTAAGAGCAGCAATGAACAGCAAGAAATGATCCACTATTACATCATGATCTTGCAGTGTTTGGTGTTCCTATTGAAGCCACTGTACAACGAGAGCAATCTGGTAAAGCTGTGCCCTTGGTGCTAGTGAGATGTGCAGACTACCTGGTTATATCTGGTGAACTGGCTGAAAATTATACAGAAAGCTTCTCTCCATTTTAATTTTACTACTGTATGATTTCTGATCATTTTCTTCCCAGGTTTGAATAATGAGTACTTATTCAAATCTGAAGGTGACAAAAAAGTTCTTCAGCAGTTAGTTTCCCTTTACAATGAAGGTATCACTGCCGCTCAATCATATTTAAGCTTAGCTTAGCTATCATTTGTTACCATGCCCCTGATTTTTTTTTTCATATTTTGCAGACTCTGGCGCATCTTTACCTGAAGGTGTAAATCCTATTGATGTAGGTGCACTGGTGAAGTGCTACCTGGCCAGTATCCCTGAGCCGCTTACTACATTTTCACTTTATGATGAGCTTCGAGCTGCGAGGGTTAGCATTCCTGATCTTAGGAACATATTGAAGAAGCTTCCAAATGTGAACTACATGACACTAGAGTTTGTTACAGCATTGCTGCTTCGAGTCAGCCGTAAATCATCACTTAACAAGGTAGATCTGATCCCTAATTTTTGTTACTCTTCTCAATGATGCATTTGCAAGTTGTTATTCCTTTTCTTTGTTCTGTTTTTGGATAATAGTATTGGAACTAAAAATAATAAATCTGAACTGAATATACGATACAGATTATTAGCAGGGTCATTGTGACTGTTTTTGGACGTCACCTTTTAACATTCAGATTCAGTACATATTTGGAGCCATTTAATATGGAACTGTATGCCCCTGACATTTTGATTGTCTTGCACATTTTTCTCTTTAGCTTTGACAGGCTGACAAATGTTAGGAAATGGCAATTTCACCTAACATGGCTTGACTGACAGTTTGGGTTTCTGAAAGACTTTTGTAACAAACCCAGTAACAGATACATCCTGTTTTGAATAATATAATGCAATGCTAGAAATCAGTAAAACTGTCTATAACATCTTCAGGGGTAACATGGACTGAACACTTAATCCATATACCACCCAGTGGAAGATGCAGCACCTATCTATTTGGTTTGAACCCTAGTGGTTTCTGCAAAATAAGCCCAATTATCAATAAAGGGTTGGGATATACCTAGAGATCTTTGTTTGGATAGGAGTGCTTGGAAAGCATCTATTGACGTGCCCAAACCGTGACTAGGGGCTCATGTTGGGTTTCAACTCTAGCCTACCCCAACTTGCTTGGGACTAAAAGGCTTTGTTGTTGTTGTTGTTGTTGTTGTTGTTGTATCAATGAAGAACCAAACTGTATGTAAAGTTTATAGAAGTGTAAACAAGCCTTTTAAAGAGTTGGCCACCACTGGGTTTGAGAGTGTTAAACTAGATTTGTTTATTTGTTGTTCATGATAACTTTCATATTACCAAAGTTAAATAACTTTTATATGAAAAATCTCAGCTCAGGTTTTACTACTCTTCCATTCAAATTCAGAAAAAAAGCTCTTTAAAAAGGAACAACAATGGTTTGCTTAATCAGCTGTAGGTCCAGTTACGCATTTGTTAGCCACTTCTATCTGATTGGGACAAAAACATGAGCAATGTAGCAAACAGATGGAATTCTGATACACATTCACACCTGCTTAGCTGTCTTAAATAGGGTTGTGAATTGTGACAGGTACGAGCATAAATATACTGACTAAAGGATATTGTTCTGTTTTGTCTGTAGAGTGTAGATTGATAACCACATTGTATATCTTTTTGGAGTAAAGCATTTCATAGTTTAGTAATTTACATATGCAAAGGATGTGGCTTTAATTTCTGTATTTCTCGAGTGGTCTCTTTGTCCTAACTAATACTACTGAATCACCTTTGGGGTGGTGTTTTACTTTTTTTTTTTGGGTATGCAATGCAGATGGACTCCCGCAGCCTTGCTGTGGAATTTGCGCCTTTGATCATGTGGCGGCAAGGTGATGCTGGCACAGATTTGCGTAACCACCTCAAGTTTACCCTGAAACCTCCTCCAAAAATTGTGGATACAACATCAAATACTGCCACATGGGACCTGTTAGGTATGTAAATTCTACTTTGTTTATTTTATTATTACAACCTCAGATTATGTAGTTGCCTCTGATCATTGTGGCATAGAGCAGTTTAGTTTGTTTGTGGCTGCCCTTGTGGTAGTTGTCTGTATCAATTGTGGCATCAATCATTTAAGTTATCAAATCTGGAATTGGCCCATGTTAGCAGAGAAAGGTACTTGCTGTCCTCTATCTTATTCTTATGGTCCAGCATGAATTAATGATTGAGATCGTGGGCCATTTGCCAACTGCCTACCAACTACCAAGTCACGAGCCAAAAGAAGTTTCAGATGCGTGGATACATCAGCCCATCTTTGCATTACAAGAACTGGTAGACATTTAGGTCACCATTGAAAGGCATGTTAATCAGAGTTCAGCTTAGGCTGTTTCCCCCGAAGTGCATGCTTGGGCTTGTAATCATTGATATATTCTGCTTCTTGAGTAGATAGGGCATTTCCTTAAAAATTTCCGTGTCAGGATTTTTCTTAGTGTACTATCACAGTTTCATCAGATGATTTTGCAATAAAGGGAAGTTTTAGATGATTTTCATCTGAAAATGGCTGGGCCTTGTTTGTGTGGGCCATGGATTATTCCCCAAAAGGTTTTTGGTTGTTCAGTTCATGTAGACTATTTAACCAATTGGATTTTCATAAAATATTTAGTTTCTGACACTATAGGAACTACAATCCTATTTGTTCGCAAAGATTTCTTTGTTCAACTGTTATAAACACATTAGCTGTTTAATCGATTGCAGACGAGGATGACGAGGATGCTTCATCCCAGATCCCCTTGGACGATGATTCACCCCCAGACTACAGCTCCATTGAGGTCATCCAGTGTCTGATCGAGCATCACAATGCCATCTTCACCGACGCAAATGAAACCGTCTGGAGATGATCAGCATCTCCTCTAGACCTCTCTGGTGTTAGCTCGTGCTATGTACAAGTTCCAGGTAGGAAGGTGGATTACCGCTCACTATTGTTAGGGATAAGCATTTTGGCCGGAACATTTTTGGAGTAGGTTTGTATATACGCTAGTGTTAATTCTCCACGGGTCTAGAATCTGGTCATGTCATATCAATAAAAGTATACTTGGATGGATGTAAACCAGATGTGCTGTTTTGACCATTTGCTGAATTAGCTTATACGCTACTGTTAATCTAGGGAATTATTTTCCTGTGCATTCGCGGTTAGCTGGTGTAACATAATAATAGCGTTTGTCTTCAAAACAAATCATTGTAGATATTGCCTTACAGGATTTCAATTTTTTTTTCTTGACGGGTTTACATAGGTTATTGAATTTGGAAGCGAATTTACTTTTGTTGTTGAAGTTGATCAAATGGCTCTACTGCTTGAGTGCATGAGGTTACATGCGGTTTAATGTTCATTGTACAGGTTTATCAAAGTTTGCTTACTTGTCTGTCTGACTAGACTAGGATCACATCTGTAGACGAAAGCCGTATTCTAATTTGGCAATTTGACTAGACTAGACTAGGATCACATCGTGTAGCAGGTATAGAAACGCCATGCCTCTCTCTTCATAAGGTTAGCCTAAAACTTAACGCTTAGCTCAATCTGTCAACCTATTGAAAGTGCGGTAAGCCTAATTTACGCCATTATATGGTACCTTTGGTCAGTTTTAGTTATCATTTAAGAGTTAAGACATGGACTTTGACTTGCATGTAACTTTTATTTTTCACAAAAAACATCAACTAAAACCGACCGGGTAGTATAATCCTAGTAAAAAGATCAATCGGAGGTAGTATAATCCTACAAAAGTCCCAGTGTCCCAGTAGACAGTATTGGCAATATTTGTTTAGTATATTCTTAGTATGATGGAAAAGAGGACAACGTTTGTGCTTTCAAAGCACCAGTACTCAAATTGATGGTTAGTAAACAGGAACATTTCATTGCAAGAGACATATTAGCAATCGGTGAAGAGCAAATAATTTTAAACAGGAACATTTCATTGCAAGAGACATATTTGCCAGGGTGGATTTCCAGCAGGACGCCACCGTCGGCGGCACAATCGGTGGTCCCCTGGGGTCGTCGTCGTCCAACCTAGGCAACGTCTGGAGCCGCCGGTGCGGTGCCGCTGCCGTGGCCGTCGCTGTCATGGCGCTAAGGACGAGGAGAACGCACAGTGAAAGGAAGCAGTGATTAGCGTTGGCCATTGTAGTTTCGAGGCCGTCGGATACGTGCTGGGTGCCTGGGGTGGTCTACGCCTGCTGTGGGCTTGTGGCGATGCGATGTGCTGTGCGATCTTGGAAGAAGGGCTTGTGGTATTCGAGGATTTGTAGTTTGCAAAGGAAAGATTAGTTATGAATGTGTTCAATGAGCGGTTTGGGAGAAGTCGGAGCTGCGTGTGCGTGAGGTGTTGTTTGCGTTGGCTATTTCTCAGTTACTGTAAAATAACAAATGTGTCATTGATGTATGCATTCACTTATAAACGTATAAATGAAGAAACAAATTCATGAAAGGAGCTGGTTTGGTACTGCTGTTGATTTTCTCCTTCCTTGCTTCTCTTGGGTCATTGATATAAGGTGTGACGCTCCAGGACATTAGAGATTTTTTCGCATGAAAATTTTGAAAAATTGAACGCATCAACACAAAATCATATGTCGGCAGTACAACAAGGATCACATGCTGTCGTGCATAAACAGAGATCAGATAACACAGGATGCAGCAAACTGAAGTAGTGGAAAAGCGTTGCAAAACTACACTATTTGTGAGGGCATCTAACATAGCATTCAATTCATACTGGCCCCGTTCGCTTCGCTGAAAAAATAAGTCGAAGCACTGTTCCGGCTGAAAAAACAAGCTGAAAAGTATAGATTATAAGACAAGCGAATAGGGCCACAGTAAAAAATTATCTACTATCATATTAGCATTTATAAGAACAAAATGAAATATGCCTTGGCTACTAACTGTTTGTATGATCTAAGCCTACCACCAACCTGCTGGCACCTTTACATCAGGAAGGACATCAGTTACAAAGAATAAGCACTCTAGGCAATTTAAATTACCTAGAGCACAAAGAATTGGTCTAAGAAATATAATTGAAAAGAAAAGGATAAACCATACACCACTATTTGTTGTTCACGGGTTTAAATTGCACTCCCGTAGAAACACTTGATCGTCGGGTGTTAGTTGATCCCATCCCTCATGGGTTTTCCCCACCAATGGGTCAGCAGGCACACTTCGACCCTTCCGTCCCGGAACCTGATATGGATGTGAAGGTACGCATCTACCACGGCCACACTAAACCCAGCGCAAATCAGCAGTTTATAATGCTGCAATCTAGAATTTCTTCTCTGGACAGTTTACTCAACAAATGTTCTTGGCAATCAAACATAGAATTATATAAAATGTATGATCATATATAAAAAGGAAAATATACAAAAAGCTAATGCATTGTGATATTACATATAGCCACTTTGAGTAAAATAACACTTCTTTCTCTGATTTGAACAAGTTAGTAGTACATAGTCCTATTTGCTAGTTTAACTTAATCCCTGTTATTTTTCTTATACAGCACATCGTAGTGGTCATATAAAGCACCATAACTTTCTTACAACCGCGCTTTGTCTTGCCTGCTTCATGCTATAGGCCTTCATTGAGGACGTGTGATACAATTCCCATTTGCTCAACACCTGAGTCCTGAAATGGCAGTCAGCTTAAGAATATTGCAAAGCAAGTGAAGTATCAAAGCTAAAAGTGTTCCATGAGAAGTGGAATATTTGTTTGTATTAAGGCAACACATTACAAGCAGTTATACAAGTTGATTGTAACATGGTGGGGAGGTAAAATGGAAAGCAAAATAAGCTTATTTCAGCACTGCACTGCAGTTTCTCTAGACTAACACATCTAGAGGTAACAGTGGCATTTTCTTACTCATCTTTAGAAACCCCAATCCTGAAAATTCCCATCTTTCCGAAAGAAGACATAAATATATCGTAGTTACAACCCAACGCGCCTCTCTTCTAATCGCCAAGATTACAGGCATTTCTCAATTCATTGGGGAAGCAAAATGATGAAAGAAAAAAAATCTGATAGCACTTTCAAACTTATTAACATGTTACCAGGTTACCATTGGTCTGGAAATGAAAGGAGAGTTGAGGTGCTGCTAGACTGACATGCTGAAAAACAAAACAGAGAAATCATGAGGTACTGTTGGAGACTGAACAGAGAAAACTGTAGATCGATCTATTTAATAAAAAATATCTCTGTTATAGTTCCGCTGGTGGTAGTAGGCCTATCTAATTATGTCAAGTGCTGACAGTAAAAGGGAGCAAATAAGAACAACAGCTAAAACCAAACACAAGGTGCAGATTAAATACAGGCAGTCCTACGGCACATGATCATGTCAACAACCACCAAGCTAGTGAGATGCATGGTTAAACAAGGTAACCACTGACAACACTAACACAAACGCTATCCTGCCTTATTTCACATGTGCTAATTTACTAACAGAAGCACTAACACAAATCAGAGCTACTAATACAATTTTGCCTGAACAAAAATAATGATCATATTCACCTGAAGGATAAAGACAAGGTTCCAAAATAGTCCAATTTACCATTTCCAGTGAGCGATTGTAGTAGTTCTGATTTGCTCCGAGATTTAGCCTCATCAAATAGATCTACCAATAAAACAACCTTAGTACTGCAGGTTCGGAACTGCTTGCCATCTGAACCAAGAACAACTGAACAAGACCAAATCCAACCTGGCATGTTTTCGGAAACCTCTCTTCACTTGGATCCGGGAGCCAACCAGCCATCCTTACAGCCTGTAGAAAGACAACAGAAGATTCAATAAAAGAAAAAAACAGAACAATCTTTATTTCTTGGCAGGTTGATAATTCAAGTAGCAATAGAATTTCTTGACCAATTTCCAATATGTAACCTTTATTTGTAGACAGTAGACAGTATCATGGTACAACACATGAAAAAAAATGAATCACCATGTTCTCGATGTAGAGAAGAGATTCGGGGTCTCAATCAACCTTCGATTCTTCTCGTTATTCACTTCTTGTTTCTCTGCAAAGAAACACAACACCATCAGTCCATCACAAAAAAAAGACCAGCGAGAAAAAAAACGGGATAATGAGTGCATCGCAGTTGAGACAGAGAAGACAGGGAGGAGGAGCCGGGACGCCACGCCGCCAGCCGCGGAAGGGTGGGCATACCTGTTGGGTGCTCGTCGCCGGTGAAGGGCCCAATGACGATCTGGCGAAGGGATCGACGAAGACACCAGCTCCTGGTGTGCTACAGCGGCGGCACCAAGCGGCGTCGGCGGAGACCTGTACGACGCGACTCGAGGTGATGGCGACGGCGGCGTTGGCGCGAGAGACGTCGACGAGAGTCGGCGGCGGCCGAGGCTCGAGGCTGAGCGGGCCGCGGCCAGCCACGGTCCGGCAGAGGCGCGGAGCTCCAGAGCCGCGACGCCGCGCGATGGCTGGGCATGGGCGCAGGACGGGGGCTTGGGAGGCGCGCGTGAAACAGAAGCAGCTGCGGTTGTGCGAGCTAAGATACACGGCGTCGAGCTGACTGTCATGTCATCTCCGGCTCGCCGACGTGGCTCCCTGACCTAAGCGCAGTTTGACGTCGAGACGTGTAAGCTCGATGCCATTAACAATGGCGCCGAACTAAGAGTCTAGATTTTCAAAACATACCTCCAAAGATATATTTATGAAAAACTTTCAAAAACAAAAAGATAAAAAATAAAATAAAAAATTCGGCCACACCATCAACTACTTCGAGATTTTTGCTATCCACCACATACTTTTTATCGATTGGTGGGTAAAGTGGTCTTTTCATGTGACTTGGCGCCCGGGGTCGACAGCCTTCGCATGGTGATCTTTCATGACATATTAGCAAAAAAGAGAGAAAGAAAGAA